CTATCATTCCTTAGGTACGATAATACCATCATCCCTAAGGAACGATAAATGCATCGTACCTTAGGAACGATAATACCATCGTTCCTTAGGAATGATAAAATCATCATTCCTTAGTATGATAAAACAATCGTCCCTAAGGAATGATAAATGCATTGTATCTTAGGAACGATAATACCACGTTCCTTAGGTACGATAAAACCATCGTTCCTTAGGTACGATAATACCTTCGTACCTTAGGAATGATAAAACCATCGTTCCTTAGGTACGATAATACCATCGTACCTTAGGAACGATAAAACCATCATTCCTTAGGTACGATAAAACCATCGTTCCTTAGGTACAATAATACTATCGTACCTTAGGAACGATAAAATCATCGTTCCTTAAGTACGATAAAACAATCGTTCCTTAGGAATGATAAAATCATCATTCCTTAGGTACGATAAAACCATCATTCCTTAGGTATGATAATACCATCATACTTTAGGAACGATAAAACTATCATACCTTAGGAACAATAAAACAATCGTTCCTTAGGTACGATAAATTCCTAATACTGAATTAAGATCTAAATATTAAAAGCCTTTCTATTGTTATAACACTGAGCTCTATTTAATCCTGCTATACTCGTTTTTTTTATGATCTCAACAATATGATCTACATAATCTACAGTTATTCTTCTATAGAGTTTTTTAATCAATCCAAAACTACCATCATACTTGAATTTAGTATGTTCAGGTATCATAAAATTTAATTCAATACTTTCATAATAGTCGCAAATTATTAAATATAAGTAAAATCAAATGATGGCATTGTTTTTATTCTGTTCACTCACGTTATCACAAGACTTAGTATCCTATTAAGATTTTTGCCTATTATTTCATTTTCATCAAAAATGTAATTAATTTGTTCGCATAGTGCTTCATCTTGAATACTGAATAAATGCACTTTATATGAACTAAGATAGTAAATCAATCTTACTTGTTGATCAGAATGGGATACATAAACGTTTTGTATCTAATCGTAACTATAATGAACAGTAACATTAATGTTACAATAGTCAGCTTTGCCTCTCGTCATAAAATGCTCATCTATTAATTTCCTCTGTTATTCTGCTAACTTTGTATTTTTGTTGTAATAATTTCTTTCTAATTTAGTTTTAACTAAATGTTCTTTGAATTTTTTCAATAACTCTTTTGCTTCTTCTTCCTTATAGGCATTATACTGTAAGCCGTTCTGAAAATGTTAGCATGTGTCACATAAATCTATTCTTGGACTCATAATTTGAATATAAGGCATTAATTGGTATCATAACTTGTGAAATGCATCATATTTTAACAATTTTAACATGTTATCATTTTCAAGACCTGAAATAAAATCATGATAAACTGACTTGTAACTTATTTCAGCTGGCAAAAGTGTAAGCGATTGAGTAATAGAATTGACATTTCTACCCAGACTTAATAGTCTATGAATTTCAGCATAGTTTTCGAGAAAATTCTTTATGGCGGTAGCAATGGTTATATCAATAGTTATTTTAATTTTTTATCGCAGCACTCATTTTATGTTACCATGAACACACACATTTATCACTAAGTGATTTCTAATATTTTCCAAATGAATGTAACCGATTCCTAACATGTTGAAATACGTTTTTTGACAAAGCGGTGTATTGCAATCTCAATAATAAAAAGTTCTCTTATTAGTACACGGTTTCTTTTTAAAATGTCGACTAGCAATTATTTCTCCACTATTCATTGCATTCAACTGGGCCATTAAAAATATATCTTGTTCAAGAACTTGAAACGCCTCACGTAACTCAGCAAACATTTCTCTCAAAATCATTTTTGAATAATTACAATTACAACCTATCTCTAAGAAATGTATTGCTTTTTTGTATTCAATCGAACCATTATAATTATAATTTTTCATATATGAGTAATTCTATATATAAATTTTATACTTTTGTAGTTTGTTTCTGAATCATGAAATAGTTACGCAACTACCTTTCTATCATATGCATGTATTACAACTATATACTGGATTCTCTAACGAAGTACAAGCGCTTACAAATACGACAGTCAAATATACTTCTGCAATTGAAATTTGATACTCATTATTATGCAAGAAATAAATTAAAAGCAAGGACAACAACATGAAATAATAACAAACCATCTATAACACAATACTAAAGAATATGTTAAAATATACAAGTAACAATTAAACTTATATAGATACTTTGTTTGCCACTAAAGAGATTTAGGTACAAACTATCCTATAAATTTCCATGCTTATCAAGCTGCCTGTCAGTAACATCTATGTAAAGTGAACTGAGAAATGAAAAATGATAATTGTAATGCAAAGATGATACGATCAGAAATAAAGTAATACAGTACAGTTTAGACTACAAAATTTTGGGAAATAGGATTTAAATGCAATAAACGTTTGTGTTTTCCTTTAAAATTTTATCACCTTTTACTGAAATTCTCATAAGCTGAACCTCAACTTTTCCATTCTTATCTTCTATTATAACAGACTTCTAATTCTCCTGGTAATATACATTTATCCAATAATCATCATAACTATACTTTAGTTTTTTATTATGAAGACCAGGACATCAAATGTCAATAATGACCCATTTCTTGCAAATATTTCTGATTGATTCATAGATACCACCTGATTCGAAGCAGCTTCTGTGGCTAAACGCATTTGCACTATCCTGTAGTAACTCGATTTTCTAGCTCTGGCTGTCATCCACAAAGAAATCCAAATATCAATTTGACCCTCAATATGTTTCAATATCAGATAAGATGAATATGTTAAGAGGTAGGACTTGAGTAGCGGTCTGATAAATTCCATTTGCCAAGCATACTCCAGAAGCCATCTGTCTTTACTAACAGAATAGGACTTACGTATGGTCTCAGCATTCATATTGGTAAAGCTTCTGTAGAGAAAGCTTTTGAAATCTTGAGAAGAAATTGTTGGCCTAGCGATACTTCCCAACACTGTTGCAGATAGAATGCGCATAGGTAGAGTGAAGTAAAATCGAATTTATTATCTTGTTCACTAAGCAAGTTTGTCTTGACTAGCTTTATCTCTTCTTCAGATGTATTATCTGGCAGTCTGATATCAATGGGTTCTTGGAATATCCTATCACAAAGTTGAGTTTCTTTTAAAGTTAAATGTTGCATATGTAAATACTTACGAAAGCCCTGCAATAACAGAATTAATAAGTACAATGATACAATCCTTTTCATAAGGCAAAATAAAACTGAGATACTTATCTCATTTACTGTCCTCATAAACGTATATGACTTTAAGTACAAGAAATCTATTCAAATGTCAACGTATCATCATATTTCAATTGTAAGGAGAAATGATCTTTAATATAATTCATAAAAAACGCGATAAGTCTAGGATGACGAGTTGTTATATTGTTCACGTATTTCTGTAAGTATGTAATATCATCTTCATCTTTTACTTTTCCAAGATGTGTTCTGCAAAAGCGTAAAAAGTAATCTTTGTATTCGTTTTTAGTGAAGCGTACATCTTGTATACTCCATGTGTTCCCATAAAAAATTGCAAATGGTGACACATCTATTATGCGAGTTGCAGCAGATGAATCTTATGCACCCTTGTAGCATATGCAGCGAAGGCAACAATATATAAATTACCGCCCTGCTGGCATCTCTTAAACACTTTTCAAAAGATATTGCCATTATGATGTGATTTACTAATAGGTTCACCTTGGAGCACATAAAGCATCTAAAATTCACTAATTTTAGAATCCACAGAAAATCAAAATAAAAGATGCCACATGAGAAACATTCATACCTAAACTTCATCAATAAATATAGTCTGAATGTAATCGCATTCATCTTGAAATTATTCTTAAGTTATGCTTATAAATCGCTGAAACCTCTTATCAAATGTTCAGGATCTGCTTAAGGTACCCATCCATAAGAGCAAGATGTGAATAACATGAATGTTTAGATCTTCAAGTAGGCTTTCTTCTAATAGTTGGCCTAACATAAGTGGAGATCAAATGAGTAAAACATCAGCATCCTAGATCTTCTCGACAAGTTTTCAGATTGTCTGCTTATAACGGCAGATATCAGAACTGTTAAGATCAATTCCTTCATAATTATTAACTCGATTTCCTTCAGTTTCTATATACGTAGTTCCACCAAGACCTCCTATAAAAAAGTGAGTTATTAGGATGGGTTAAAATGAAAATGATGTAAACACATATTAAAGCAATCATATCTAGTCTTTGTGTATACAGCAACTTTACATCTATATGATGAAGCAAATTATGGTGAGCAAACAGGGATAATATATTTATACCCTCAATATAAATGAAACATGCATTAACTAAATGCTTACCTTCTCCTAAAAAGGCAGTTTGACAGGAGATAAAAGGGAATACAAAAAAGTATAAGTTAGTCAATTTTGCAAATAGCACAAGTTATTAGTATATAAACTTTTTCGAATGGATAAATGAAGATATATAGATGATAAATAATGAGAATTTGTTGATATTTCTTAAAGGTGAATAAAACAGAATATAATAAGGAGACAAATGTATGGAATGCATATAACAATAGTATTTGAACTATTCTCCTCCATTCCTCCTACTCTACTTAACCCAAATGTATTATATCTTGCTTATTTGCCTTTTAAATGAGTTTATATATAACTCAACCTTTGTTACGACTCGGCTCTATGTCTCAACCTCAATGCATGTCGTAATTCATTTCAACTATTCTCTCAATAATCGAACTATTCTCTCTTCACTGCTCCTCTATTAACCCATACTGTTTCTTGTCTCCCTTGAAACGAGTTTACGTATACCTTAGCTCTGCTATGATCCAGCTCTGTCCTAACTAATAACACTCCAACTGCCTCTCTTACAAATAGCACAAACCCAGTAACGGTATTCAAATTCTTTTTTCTGTTGCTTCTCTATCCTTCTAATAAACATGTATCGCTTACCTTACTTGCCAACTGTTTGAAGATATTTTTCATAACAATCAGTAGTTGCTGTGGGGTTTTCGTGATGGTACTTAACAAAGAAATCTTTATACTTATTGTATTCATCTTCAAGCTCCTTCTCAGTTGCTATTGAGAAGTCTTAACCATATTTCACGCAAAAGCGACATAATCCCAGTGAGTAGTCCATATCTATGTTTAGTTGTTGTATGATGGTAAATGAGAATGGTAAAAGAAGAGTCGTGAACTACGCTCACCTAACTCAGCCTTGTTTATATATTTTACTTACACAAACATATGATACTTCTTCATATTGAAGCGTTGAATCAACTACAGGTGCCAGATCTAACACACTTAGCAAAATAAATTGGAATCCCTCTATACTTCTATCAGAGATAAAGGGTAAATGAAGACAAAGTGAAAATCTCTTTTATACGCTTCTTTATATATCACGTTATAGAACAATGTTTTCAATTTGTATTATTATATTCTGCTATTACATAATGCAATTCTGCTTTTAGAAGTGAAGCAATTATTTTTACGTACGTATTGTAATGAGTCATATAATAATGGATAACTAAATTTAAATTGCAAAAAATAGTTACAATAATCGATTCTCTTTATTACTCTCTTAAACAAAGTATGTACAACTTTTGCATATTCACCAGAGTGATTATATAGGAGGAAATACTCAGACCTAAAGCCATTGATGAGTATTCCTATACTTTAGTCGCGCTAGTGAAATCTATGTTACATATCATTATTATTATTATAACACCATCATTTTTCTTCCCCTTTTCTTTATTAACCCATTTCTATACTGCTTCAACAGTTATTTTCCGCAGATTAGTTTTTCATTGGTAAAAGTTATTCAGTCTAGAGTTGGCAATACCTTTCTTCTTGCGTAATTTGCAGATTTGAGTAGCCACTTTGATAAATGAAAAGTCTGGGTCCAGCTCAGATTTCGTATCAAAGAATTTTTTAAAATTTTTTCATATATTTTTAACGTCATCTGCGTATTTTCGTTCGCTGGACAGCTTGCTGGATTTAGATTTGATTTTGATTTTGTTCAATTTGATTGTTGAATTGCTATTTCAAGCTTTTGATTTATATTGCAGAGTTGAATGTATGTTTTATAATAGAGCAAATGACTAATGACAAGTCCTATTAACAGCTTAAAAACTAATTCAATAATGAAAAGAAATATTTTTGATTACCGGTTATTTGCTTTTTTATAAAATGACTTATTTCAGTATTGACTTTAGAAAGATTTGTAGTTTTTTTTAAAGCAAAATTGAATCCGTTTTTATAATAAATTCTCAGTTTCATCAAAATTGC